ACTTAACTACCCTATGCGTTCTATGCCTACACTCCAGTGATGCTGCTGAACTTAAATCTTTAAAATACCGTAACAAAGCAAGCGATGAAGTCAGTCATTTGTTATTTAACTTCGGTTATTTGTTGTTTAATGATATAAATCATTTCAGAGTGTTTCAGTACCTTGGTCTGTTCTGTTCAAGAACATTGACGGCTGAACATTTCAGACGGTTCAGAACGTATCTGTATATTCAAGTCATTGCACTATTACCTTATAATTCAGAATTTTAGAAGTGTGTGAACATCTCTTTCAGGACAAGTTGACAGAGATAACAGATAAACCAGGGATAGATGCAAGACGAGGATAGATACAATCCAGGGATAAATACACACCCATATGTGTACCTCCCATTGATTAGTGGATATACACTGAGGGGTGTATATTTAGTCTTGAAATCAGTTCAGGACTAAAGAATATTTGCTGGTTGGTCAATAAGCTATTGCGGTGGCCTTAATGTTGGTAGGCCTTAAGCCTACCAATACATAAGTCAATAGACAATCTTGCAATATCATAAATTCATTTGTAATTATGAGTAAACACTGGAATATCTACTTGCGTTTCTTGGCAAGTCTAAGACCTGCAGCCCTAGAAACTACAGCACTTGCACACCCTTATTTCCTCCGAGGAAAGAAAATAGCTTCCCAGACGGGTCTACGAGGTCTCAAGACCCCGCTGGGAAACTCAGGAAAACTCCCTCAGGGAAATCAGAAGACGAGCTTCTCGCTGGAGGTAAGAGGAGACCCTCGATGGTAGCCTTAATTTTGTATCCTGGTGAAAGAGCGAGTATTTCGGTCCTGGTGAGGCTGTGTGTGTGTGTGTGAGGATTTCCCAAGGGTTCTTAACTCAGGTGAGGACATTCCCAAGGATTATTGCCTGGCTTGATTGATGTGAGGATTTACCAAGGGTTCTGGCATGTCTTGGCTGAAGTGAGGGATTTCCCGAAAGTTCTTGCATGGTTTGGTTGGGGTGAGACATGCCAAGGGTTCTTACATGGCTTGGCTCAGGCGAGAAATCTCTCAAGAGTTCTTAGATGGCTTGAATCAGACGAAAGATTTTCCAAGAGTTCTTAGATCGCTTATATCAGACGAGGGATTTTCCAAGAGTTCTTAGATCGCTTATATCAGACGAGGGATTTTCCAAGAGTTCTTAGATGGCTTATATCAGACGAGGGATTTTCCAAGAGTTCTTAGATGGCTTATATCAGACGAGGGATTTTCCAAGAGTTCTTAGATGGTTTGGCTCAGGTGAAGGACTATCCCAAGGGGTTCTTGCATGTTCTGACTGAGGTGGGAGGTCTCTTCAGGGTTCACGAGTGACTGTTCATAATACCACAGCATAAGGTTCATCCAAAGGGTATCTAAAGCTTGGCTTGAGTATTGGGCATGATCTCAGGACAAAAATATTGTTATTTTCTAGTACTGTGATTACCCGTCCTAACAATAATTGTCCCGTGACACACACGAAAATGAGAGTGAAACCAGCTGGCTTGAGTGCGTCCTCCGCTCTACTGTTTGTCGATTTCAATAATAATACTACGACTAATAATAATAATAACGAGAAAATCATCAGGAGAAACGAGAAGGATTCGAACCCTTATATTTTTCACAATAATAATAATAATACAGACAATTGTAATCATAACAATAATTGCAATAAAAATAATAATAATAATTTATTTATAAAAAAATTGCGGGGGTTATATAATATCCACTATGGACAGGTATTTTAAATTTGTCTAGAGTTACTAGCCACATGCAGTATTTCAGCCAAATAAAGTTTAGCTTGTAACTCTGCGATATTTCCAACACCAATATTTTTATTGTTTTTGTATATTGTGTAACTAAACTCTAATTTGCTGCTATCGACCACAGAGTCAAAATTCCGTGGCTTTTAGTGAAATTAAAAGCATTCTGATATTGACGCTCCCTCGGACTAAATTTTTTTATCGGATTCAGATGTTAGGTAAAACCATGTCAAATATGCAACCCATCCTCCGAATTGACAGTACGTTTTAATACTAAGTGTAATAAGTACATTTTCTAACTGTTATACATAGTACATAATTGCACTTACGGGGTAGTTACATTTACCCATCCCCCTCCCCCGATTTAAGTCTCCTCGTTTTCTGTTAGGACACTTGAAATTTTAAGATGAAATTTATAAGTTCAGTTGCTATTAACAAGTTTTAAATATTAGAGTTTTCTTTTTCACTTTTATTAAACAATATAGATTTTATACAAAATTTGAAAATATCCTGAGTAACTTTACAATTTATTGAAATATTTTAGTTTTGTTTTATCTGTTTTATAAAACTGTAATATCAATATAGCTATAGGTTAAGTAATAGTTATAATTAAGATGCAATAAAATGTTTATCTTCACAAACTAAGACGGTTAGGTTAGGTCGTGGTTTTCTATTCAGCTTTTAAGGTAAACTCAAATATTCACAATATATTAGACAGTACGATTTAATACTAATCGTAAATAAGTACAATTCTTGAGTGTCATACATAGAACATAATTGCACTTATGGGGCTGTGTACATTTACCTCTCCATTTTTGGAGGACGGCCTGCAAATATGACGCTTTTGAGACCGTTGGAACGGGTTGACTGACTTCTTCACCGCCATCGTCATCTACACCATCAACAAGCCTTACCACCACCTCATCACCAGACATCTCCACCATCAACAAGCCTTACCACCACCTCATCACCAGACATCTCCACCATCAACAAGCCTTACCACCACCTCATCACCAGACATCTCCACCATCAACAAGCCTTACCACCACCTCATCACCAGACATCTCCACCATCAACAAGCCTTACCACCACCTCATCACCAGACATCTCCACCATCAACAAGCCTTACCACCACCTCATCACCAGACTGGGTTTACTCTTTGCATGTGGAAGCAACCGGTTGTTTCCCTTTCGTACTCCGCCTCTTCTCCAGCACTACTCTACCTTATATATCTTCTTCTACAACGTGGATTCGTAATATATTATCCAGGCTTTCTTGGGTATTGCCTTAATGTCTGTCTCTGTAACTATGAAAACATTTTATGGCTACCTACTAGATGCTGAAGTGACTTTGGCTAGTTCTGGTTATGGGATAAGGCTGTAGGTCACATAGACATGATAATGGTAAGAAATATCAACGAGGAAATACGTATGAGCAGTTGAAAAGCTGCTTAACCTAACCCACAAGGGACCTAACCCTAGTGGGTTAAGGTCTATCTTGAGGTTATCTTGAGATGATTTCGGGGCTTTTTAGTGTCCCCGCGGCCCGGTCCTCGACCAGGCCTCCACCCCCACGAAGCAGCCCGTGACAGCTGACTAACACCCAGGTACCTATTTTACTGCTAGGTAACAGGGGCATAGGGTGAAAGAAACTCTGCCCATTGTTTCTCGCTGGCGCCTGGGATCGAACCCAGAACCACAGGATCACAAGTCCAGCGTGCTGTCCGCTCGGCCGACCGGCTCCCTGCGTGTGTCGTGGTCTAGTGGGTTAAGGCCCGTGGCTGGTATTCACTTGGGTGCTCCAACGGATTTTTTCAATATGGTTGCACAGGTTTATGGATCAAATTATCTAGTAACAGTAACAGTCTTGGGAAAGTTGTATTATGCTGTTAGTTTACATGAATGACGTTTTTTGAGGGTGTAAACTGGAGCTGCTTCGCATGGGACGATAGTCATTCTGCAGTTTCCTTTCATCAATTCGTACATTGACAGTCTTTCATCAATTCGTATATTTCGACAGTCTTTGTGTAACTGTCTGAAGCAGTAACAACCCAGTGGGCACAATATCCTAGAACAACGCCAATTCAACGCATGACTAACGTTGATTAAATTTTGATAATGTTCCTTCAACGCTGAACCAACGCCACTCTAAGATAACGTGCCCGCTTGGTGAGAGGAAACATATCAACAAGCATGCAACATACAAATAATGCCATGTTTATATTCTATCAACGTACAAATAATGTTTTAGTTACGTTGTTACAATGAAGAGCTAACGTTTTGGTTACGTTGTTGCAACATTCAAATAACGCTTTAGTTACGTTGTTACAAAGTAGAACTAACATTTTAGTTACGCTTCGCAACATTCAAATAACACTTTAGTTACAGTGTTAGAATGTAGAGCAAACGTTTTAATTGCGTTGTTACAACATACAAATAACGCCTTAGTTACATTGTTATAACGTATAACTAATGTTTTATTTACGTTGTTTCAACATACAAATAACACTTTAGTTACGGTGTTAGAATGTAGAACAAACGTTTTAGTTACGTTGTTACAACGTACAAATAACGCTTTAGAGTGTGTGTACGTCAGCCAGACGCCCAGAGAGGGCTGGTACTCATCACCACACGCTTCTGAGTGCATTAAGCACAGACATGGTCAGAAATCTAGAGTGAAACAGAGAATTTCTATTTTTTGGTTGATTTTCTAACTTACCCCATCTGGAAGAGCATAGAATTTCATGAATATCAAATACATATTTGACAGTGAGTGAAGAGGCTCTGGTAACTGCATGAAAATAATATGAAATCAATTTTAAAAATTGAGTGAAACCAGAGCAAAATATTTTATTAAATTTGGCACAGTTATTGGGACAATTTAGCATTTGTTCATCCAATATTTCACCTTTGACCTAATTTCCTACAACCAAATTAGTTTACTTGATTCGTAAAGGGGAAATGTCTGTTTCAGATCCGTAAAGGGGAAATGTCAGGTAGGAAGGATAGGTGTGATGGGGATAGGAAATAGAGAGGATAGGTGTGATGAGGGTAAATTGATAACAATTTTGGCCACAGTAGTAGCCAAAGTGGTTGAACCCTGATGGCAAAGTCTTGGGTTCTTTTGGTATAGTGACAGTGTGGTCACTATACCACACTGTCGCGGTATAGTGACAGTGAATTGTTTTCTTGTAACATACCACATAACTGTACCCATATGTCGTGCTCCCACAGACAATGGCTGTACCCAAGACAATATGTTGCTCCCACAGACAATGGCTGTACCCAATATGGTGCTCCCACAGACAATGGCTGTACCCAATATGGTGCTCCCACAGACAATGGCTGTACCCAATATGGTGCTCCCACAGACAATGGCTGTACCCAATATGCTGCTCCCACAGACAATGGCTGTACCCAATATGCTGCTCCCACAGACAATGGCTGTACCCAATATGGTGCTCCCACAGACAATGGCTGTACCCAATATGCTGCTCCCACAGACAATGGCTGTACCCAATATGCTGCTCCCACAGACAATGGCTGTACCCAATATGCTGCTCCCACAGACAATGACTGTACCCAATATGCTGCTCCCACAGACAATGGCTGTACCCAATATGGTGCTCCCACAGACAATGGCTGTACCCAATATGCTGCTCCCACAGACAATGGCTGTACCCAATATGCTGCTCCCACAGACAATGGCTGTACCCAATATGCTGCTCCCACAGACAATGGCTGTACCCAATATGCTGCTCCCACAGACAATGGCTGTACCCAATATGGTGCTCCCACAGACAATGGCTGTACCCAATATGCTGCTCCCACAGACAATGGCTGTACCCAATATGCTGCTCCCACAGACAATGGCTGTACCCAATATGGTGCTCCCACAGACAATGGCTGTACCCAATATGCTGCTCCCACAGACAATGGCTGTACCCAATATGCTGCTCCCACAGACAATGGCTGTACCCAATATGCTGCTCCCACAGACAATGGCTGTACCCAATATGCTGCTCCCACAGACAATGGCTGTACCCAATATGCTGCTCCCACAGACAATGGCTGTACCCAATATGCTGCTCCCACAGACAATGGCTGTACCCAATATGGTGCTCCCACAGACAATGGCTGTACCCAATATGTTGCTCCCACAGACAATGGCTGTACCCAATATGGTGCTCCCACAGACAATGGCTGTACCCAATATGGTGCTCCCACAGACAATGGCTGTACCCAATATGGTGCTCCCACAGACAATGGCTGTACCCAATATGTTGCTCCCACAGACAATGGCTGTACCCAATATGCTGCTCCCACAGACAATGGCTGTACCCAATATGGTGCTCCCACAGACAATGGCTGTACCCAATATGTTGCTCCCACAGACAATGGCTGTACCCAATATGGTGCTCCCACAGACAATGGCTGTACCCAATATGGTGCTCCCACAGACAATGGCTGTACCCAATATGTTGCTCCCACAGACAATGGCTGTACCCAATATGGTGCTCCCACAGACAATGGCTGTACCCAATATGGTGCTCCCACAGACAATGGCTGTACCCAATATGGTGCTCCCACAGACAATGGCTGTACCCAATATGTTGCTCCCACAGACAATGGCTGTACCCAATATGGTGCTCCCACAGACAATGGCTGTACCCAATATGTTGCTCCCACAGACAATGGCTGTACCCAATATGTTACCCAATATGGTCTCCCACAGACAATGGCTGTACCCAATATGGTGCTCCCACAGACAATGGCTGTACCCAATATGGTGCTCCCACAGACAATGGCTGTACCCAATATGTTGCTCCCACAGACAATGGCTGTACCCAATATGGTGCTCCCACAGACAATGGCTGTACCCAATATGGTGCTCCCACAGACAATGGCTCCCACAGACAATAACTGTACCCAATATGGTGCTCCCACAGACAATGACTGTACCCAATATGGTGCTCCCACAGACAATAACTGTACCCAATATGCTGCTCCCACAGACAATAACTGTACCCAATATGTTGCTCCCACAGACAATAGCTGTACCCAATATGGTGCTCCCACAGACAATGGCTGTACCCAATATGTTGCTCCCACAGACAATAACTGTACCCAATATGGTGCTCCCACAGACAATGGCTGTACCCAATATGGTGCTCCCACAGACAATGGCTGTACCCAATATGTTGCTCCCACAGACAATAACTGTACCCAATATGTTGCTCCCACAGACAATAACTGTACCCAATATGGTGCTCCCACAGACAATAACTGTACCCAATATGTTGCTCCCACAGACAATAACTGTACCCAATATGTTGCTCCCACAGACAATGGCTGTACCCAATAAGGACAATTAAAAAAGCAGCAGTGAAGAAGGTACAGTTTCAGAACTCTGTGAAACACTAATGAACGCTGGGTAGTGTTTGCAAAAAGTTGCAACGTAAACGTTCTCCTGCAAATTGCAATTACTTATTATTTTCTGAAAAAGTCTGTAGCAGGAAAGTCAAGAGACCTCTTTTTATAAATTATATTTTATCTGATAATTGGAGGAAATAGTTCATGCTAAATATAGAACCAAGAGTTTTAAAAGTGACATTAGTGGCACGTTTAAGGCCCGGCCTCCACTGAAGATAATTGAATGAATAATTAATAATACTAATAATACTAATAATATTAATATTAATAATATTAATAATATTAATAATAATAATAACATTGCACGAGGAAATCATATTTAGTGTCTACTTGCGAGGTCTCTCATCTCAATCATGGCGGCTTATATTATTTACTGAACACTTTACGAGGTCTGACACGCTACGAGGTTTGACATGTTACGAGGTCTGACACGCTACGAGGTCTGACACACTACGAGGTCTGACACACTACGAGGTCTGTCACGCTACGAGGTCTGACACACTACGAGGTCTGACACGCTACGAGGTCTGACACACTACGAGGTCTGACACGCTACGAGGTCTGACATGCTACGAGGTCTAGCAACCCGTCCTCGACTCAAGTCCATTCCATCCAGCGGTCGACCCCACAGACGCATTCATAAATTTTAACATGCTGTTCATTCAAAACGGGAATTTTCTCAAGTATAAATTAATATTATAATATATTAGCATATTGTGTATATATAGGCATAGGATAGGTTAGGTTAGGTGTTTAGGTTCTGTTGGCGATTATTTGTATTTGTAGTACGTGGGTGAAGCATTTATAGCGTTGTGGTTCGAACAAAATTCGTCAGTGAAGCACTTGTTCCGGATATGTTCGAACGTCAGCAGTTGTGAGTCGTGTGTAAACCGCTTTTCATTCATAAACAGGGGGTTTGGCGGGTGCATGGAATCACTTTTGGATCTTTGTTTGGAGGACGGGCTGCACGAGTATAATTAAGATAGTACATATGGTGTGTGGTCACTCTTCTTCAATATACAGTCTTTCAACTGAGAAAATATTAGCACCTAAATTGGAAATGGGGACATATGTAGGCAATATGTGGGTGTATGCACACACAAATGTTCTCAATTGTATAGAGTCCCTTTGCTTAAGCGTCAAGCTGAAAGGCTTTCGACGCTGAACACAAATTTTGACTACAGGTCAAACGATACTGACTTGAAATTTTCTCTACGAGTCAAAAGACTGAGCTTAAATTTTGTCTACGAGTCAAAAAGACTGAGCATAAATTTTGTCTACGAGTCAAAAAGACTGAGCTTAAATTTTGTCTACGAGTCAAAAAGACTGAGCTTAAATTTTGTCTACGAGTCAAAAAGACTGAGCTTAAATTTTGTCTACGAGTCAAAAAGACTGAGCTTAAATTTTGTCTACGAGTCAAAAAGACTGAGCTTAAATTTTGTCTACGAGTCAAAAAGACTGAGCTTAAATTTTGTCTACGAGTCAAAAAGACTGAGCATAAATTTAGTCTACGAGTCAAAAAGACTGAGCATAAATTTAGTCTACGGAACCCAGTGAGTTCGCGTTATGTCATTAAGTATTAATACATTAAGTATTAATAATAAACTGTCTCGCTTGTCCTAACATCCAGAATAACCAAGACGGTGAACACAGTTCGTTTAATGTAATGAGACAAATGTTATTATCCTTGCTGGAACCCCGATACCACTCTTTCTTCACTTCTAACACAGCACACATAATACGGAAGCAGCGTCGTTTGACTCCCTACAGGTTGCAGCATTGCATCACTTGCAAGTGGTCAATATACTAAGTCATATTTACTCGGAGGAGGAAAATATGTAAAGGATCTAGGAATAATGATGTCGGTCGGCCCAAGGTTTAGAGAGCTCAACAGAGCAAGAGTTTAAAAGAGCACAGGCAAGAAAACATAGCATTATCCAGGGCAGTGATGAGGGGGAGCTTGAGAACCTTCACATCCAGAGGCTCCACCACAGTGTTTCCAGTCATCAGACTACTGTAGTCCTCTCCTGCCCTCAGTATTCATTTACTCCTTTTAAACCTCGGAGAGATTTCTGGAGCAGAAGGAATACAGAGAAGATATACAACACGCAGACAATTACTTAAATTACTGGCACCATCTCAGAGCACTCAAAAATATACTCTCTGGTATATAGGCATGATAATTATTACATATTATTGTGTAATATGTAAGGAAGCATGTTATATGAATTATTAAAATACATGAAAGGTATCGGATGGCCAGGTTTTTAGATATAACAACATTCTGGAGCGAAAGATATGGAAGGAAATGCACAATAGAGCCAGTGGAGTATAGAATAGCCACAATAGAGCCACAATCAGAGAGCACTGTCTGAACATCAGAGGTCCAAAGTTGTTCAGACTTCTCCTTCCACATGTATATAAAATACTGTTGGAATACAGGAATTGGAGACAGTTCGACAAGCTCCTGCTACGACTGCCGGATCAACCGGGTTGTAATAGAGTTGCGGGCCTACGGGACGTTCCAAGTAACAGCTCTGCAGATCAAGTTATCACCAAACAAGCCTATCCTGTGAGCAGACAGGTAGTAGAACACTGGAAACCAACTACAGGTAAACATCTCGTTCCATTCACCTGCGCCATAGGAGTCTCGAAAACATCTCGTCTTCGTGTATATTTCCTAATTTTGATGATTGATTCCAGAGTGAAAGTTCTGCGGGTGGAATATCACACCTCCAGTACACAAGCTCTCGTGAATACATCATGACCTTGACAACATGTCCATTAACCCTAATACATCTCCCATTACCAATAACTCTGTCATCGTGACTGACCTCGAGAACCAAAGAAAAATTATACATTGGTTTGATAAATTTCCCTTTTAAGAACATTAGAGCAAAAGAACATAACTGAAGAACATATGAACAAAATTCAATAAAAATAAAACCATCTGCAGAAGGACTATTAAGCCGTTTGAGAAAGCTCCTATTTATTTGCACCCGAACTCATTCCAATATGTCTAAACTACGCTGGAAACGATTAAGAGAACCCACGTCCGATGTCTTATCCTCAAACCTGTTTCACAAATCAACAACTTGATTTTTTAACCAGTATTTACCCAGGTCTTTCCTGAATCTTTAAATTAGCGCAGTTTTGCTGTTCTTCAGGGTGACAGTTGATCCCCAAGGTGGCATTGTGACAAGTTGCTGATTGCGTGGCACTGTGACCTTATGACAGATCGCTGATTCACTGACTATTATGACCTATTATCGAGCCTACTGAGGTCAGGGTTACTGGTTAACTAGTGCCAAGTCTACTGGGGATAGGCCTACTGGATGCGAGATAGACAACGAATAGCTTAAATAACCCCAGATAACAGTAGGGCAGATAGGCCTTAAGGATAGATTGGTGTTACGGATAGTCTGGACATAGGGAAAGACTGATTATGGGATCAGACCGAATATAGGGGAAAGACTGCTTATAGGGACAGACTATATATAGGGAAAGACTGATTATAGGACCTGACTGGGCAGATAATTACACTGTATTGACAGGTTAATTGTATAAGTGTTCTGTTTAAACGGGATCGAAAAAGTAAATAATAAAGGGGAAAATATACATACAAATTAACCAAATACATAGAATAAAAACGTGTTATGTAGATTTTTAAAGAGATTACCTTTTGTGGTGAAGGAACTTTAAAATTCAGGAAATTATAAAGTTCCTTCGAGACACACAACTCTGGCCAACCATCACCAGTGAACTCGTCTCCGTCTGAACACCCACACAACCAGCTGGCGAAGCTCCCTTTAACCACACCTTAACCCAGCTGGCTGGTTATAACCTCCCTTCGGCTAAACCCAAAACCAGTTGGCAAGGCGCCCTTTGAACACACCTAAAACCATCTGTCCTGCCCGTCGTCTGAACATGCACAGTACCAGCTGGGCAGACCTCCCAGCTGAGCCCAGCAGAGCCAGCTGGCTTGCCCTAACCAGTTGGCAGACAGTGGCGATAACGAGAACCAGAAAATTTACTTAGAAGACGATGCTTTCCTTTCTCGGTCCAATCACCTGTCTCCAATCCGACTCCTCTCAATCGCTCTCCCACACTCTCCCCCCACCCCCCTGTGTGTGTGTGTTCATCCCTCCTCTCCCACACTCTCCCACACACTCCCATCTTTTGTTTTTTTGTTTTTTTGTTTTTACACAGGTGGGTACAGCATCAGACGACGACTGACGCCTGTTTGCAGACTGAGAGCTTTCCTTTCCCATCGCTCATGGTCAGCCTTACCCCATTAGTTTTTCCTGGGATACGACTCGCCAGTCGTTTAAGAACCACGTACACAATCACTGCTGGGTGAACAGAGGCGTGGAGTTAGGGAGTGGCGCCTGGTCAATCATCCTCTCTCTCTCTCTCTCTCTCTCTCTCTCTCTCTCTCTCTCTCTCTCTCTCTCTCTCTCTCTCTCTCTCTCTGTGTGTGTGTGTGTGTGTGTGTGTGTGTGCGCACGTCCCCTCCACCCGCTCAGTGGCATCAGGGCTATCATTCAGGACGCGTGCTAAGGCCCATCAGAGGTTACAGAACTGGCTATAGTGATTGACGCCCTACAGCAGGTGTATCACTTTGGATTCAGAGTGTGGTGTGTGATTCACTGATTACATTAGCAGACTAGTTAGAGTCTTACAGACTATCTAACAGACTGTCTTTAATACAGACTGATCATATGGATTAGAAGAGCTCTATTGACAGACTAACTACAAACAACTGGCTATAGTAACAGGTTAGTGACCTGACTAGAGAGAGAGATATAGCAATAGTTAAACTGGCCATAGGCGCAGACTGTAAATTTGCACAGACTGGCCGCATAGGCCCAACATTACTAAACAAACAGTACAGTTACTGACACAGTCTGCCCAAGAAACATATTGTAAATA